CTTCAACATGCTTCCAGCCTGGCCATAAGCCAACTCCCTTTGACGCCGACTCTGCAAGTAATTTTTATGATCACGACAAGTGTAGCTGAGATTTATGGGTCCTCCAACTTGGCGACAAGCCAACTCATGTACCGCTTTTGGCCTAATTCCAGAATCATCAGCTGCCTTAATTTCAAAAGCCTATACTTCTGAAATCTTCCTCTGTGATGTCATCAAATGAACGGTTTTGGCAAGTGAAGAACATGATTGTGTGCAAGCAATAGATCAAATACTTCATAATTTCCAGCCACACGATCTAATGTTAGACCCATCCAAATTGGACAACATGTCCTTGTTTCAGCTCGAGGATTTTTGGTGGCATGATCCCTCTTGTCCTGTGCTCTTCGACCTTCCTTAGCACACACATATCTACAAGATGTTGCCTTTCCATCGGTACCAACATTTGTGTACCTCTTCCTGACCTCAAAACCTGCATGACCTCCATAATCAATCCAAAAAGACCAAGCATCCTCCAAGTTCCTGAATTTCTGACCAATCCAAGGTAACCAAGTAGGATTCACATTCTCCCTACATGAAAAATAAATGTATATTTATTGCAAGGCACGTCTGGATGCAAACAAAGAAAAATAAATTAAAAGGTAAACCTAACTTACTTGTTTGGTTTTGCCATGTCTGAATCGGAAGACTGAAAGAGAAAAGGTTGATTTTGGTTACCTGTAAGCAAGGTCTGAATCAACGAGTACTACACAAAAACAAGCAGGTCTAAATTTTTGGCTTACAAAAAAATAAGCCTGAAAGATGAAAGATTGATTTTGGCTACCTGTAGAAAAGCAAGATCACGTGAAGGAAGATGGCGAGCTCCAACGATAGACCTCTGCCCAGGCCAGAATTTCGCGACGACGACGTTGCTGCTGTCGTCCACGCGCAACAGCAGCAGCAGCAGCTATCACACGTACCAGATCGGCAACACGCGCTCGCTGCTCCCTGTTGACGAGATGACTGTGTCTAGCCGCCATCGGCGGCGCTTGCCATCCGCCGAGCGAAACAAAATCTGGCGCTAAAAATGTGCCGTCGCTGCTTATTTACCCGCCAAAAATACATAGCGCCTGTAGTCAACCGATTCCACTTCTCGTGAGCTGGGCCTTTGTTTGGGCTGTCAAATGGGCTGAGCTAATTGATTCTTGAAACCTTTGTGAAAGAGAACCGTTGGATGAGGAATAAATGGAATCGGGACGAGGAGAAGTCACCGGTGACTTTTGTTCTTCAAGTTAGAGAAACATCCGGAAAAGCAATCTGCCTCCTCATTCATGCTTGCCAGTTGTTAAATCCCTATTGCCAGTCTAGTCAGCCTACAATGCCTTTGTTCGTCATGGTTACTCCCTCTGTAAAACAAAATACAATTCTATATTTAAACTAAGTTATTTTTTCTTAAAAAGTTAAAGTTTAATTTAACTAAATTCGTAGAAAATAATATTTATGTTTATATGTAAAAATATGTTTACTATTAAAATATATTATATAACTAATCTAATCTAACTTATTTGATACCATAAATATTAGAATTTTTTCTATAAATTTGATCAAATTTAAAATTATTTGAGTTCATTAAATTCAAAATTGCTTGACTCTTCTAAAATTGAGTAATTCTCTTTTTGAAGGAATACTGCTACTCAACAGCATTATTCCTCATTCATTCGCCTCATCGCCATCAGTCAGAGGGGATGAGGATGAATCTTGCAATCGGTCATTTGACGACACCACCACTAACCAGCAGTCAAAGCCGTTTCAGTTCGACAGATTCCCCTCTTTCAGCGACTCGTAGGCCCTGTTGTGCTTCTGGCTTTTATATTACTTTTTATTAGCACAAAGCCACAGCCCACAACCACAAGTTTTTCCGGTCACCTGGTATCAGATTTCGCTGGCTTAAGAGAAACGGAATATTGTGTTCTTGCCCCTACTTTGATGTCTAATTATGATTTTACCCTCCTTTTTGTCATCGTTGTGATTTTATTCCTGCTTTGTAACTACTAAGGCACAGTTTACCCTTACTTTTAACTCTGTTAGTTGTATCTGAAATAAACAAAATTAAAAAACAACAAAACCCTTCACAGTAAGACCAAAGGACAACAATACCCTTTATCCACTCATACCCTTCCCAATCCCACATCCTCTATCGTATCCTCTCTCCCTCCGGTCTCCTCCCCAGCCCGGCGCGTACTCCTCGCGAAGTCGCCCGACGCGCCCCCCGCCCCTCCCCAACCCTCCCCTCCCGACACGCCCCCTCCCCAACCCTCCCTCTCTCCTCCACTCTCCCCACGACAGCTCCCGTGCGGTGGTGCGCGGTTTCTGCGAGGCCTTGGCCAGCTCCCGGCGGTGGCTCCTCCCGGATCCAGCGTCGGGTAGGGCGCAGGGCGGCTCGGCCCCTCCTGGCGGCATGGAGCAGCAGCAGCGGGTGGCGTCATGGATCCGCCCTCCTCCCCTACCTCCATGGCTCCACCGGTGGGTGGCATCGTGGATCCGGCGGGATGGAGCCACCACAGCGTGGATCCGGCGGAGAGGTGGCCTCCGATGGCGGATCCGGTGGGATGGAGCCACCACGGTGCGGATCGGGAGGAGAGGTGGCCTTCGGCGGCGGATCCGGCGGGATGGAGCCACCACGGCGCGGATCCGGCGGAGAGGTGGCCTCCGGTGGTGGATCCGGCAGGATGGAGCCAGGCCTCGTTCGCCGGGTGGGCGAAGCCAGGCGCGCGGGGAGGCTGAGGCGTGTGTGGCGTCTGGCGTGGGGTGCGGCTGGCGCTCTGCGCGCGCGCGCTCTGCTGGCCGTCCATGCCGCGCGCATGATGGGGCGACTCGCCCGGCTCTACAATGGTCCCGACCGCTTGCCGACCTTGCCGTCGGCGGGGACCACGTTGCGACCTCTGAAGCCAACACCTCCGCCTCCGGGACGGGGGAGAGTCCTATGGTGGCCTTGGTGGGGACCGGTTCCCCAGCGAGGCCGGCGACGGGTTCCGCTCCCTGCGTCTCCGGGGACGGCTTCACTTGCGTCGTCGAGACCAATGCGTCCATGATAGTCCGATCTTTGGGGGCTGTAGGGTAGCGCGGTGCGACGGGGCTCGCATGCGCGACCGTCGCGCGCGTACCTCGCCCATGGGGGCTCTCGAGCATGCATCGTCCTCGCCTCCGCGCCGCGCGCTCTGCTTTCGGCTGAACGACATCGGCATGTGGCGGCTTAACGAACTTTGCCGCCGTAGCCGTCGCTAAAGGACCTCTTGGTGTGGCTTTGGCCATCGGCGGCTCCCGCAGCGTGCGCTTACACCGCCCAACCACACCGCGGTGTGCTTTGGAGCCTCGAGGGGCCCACCACCACCTGTCAGACGAGCAGCGCTCGGGATCTCCTTCCAGTTCCTCGTCGCCGGTGGCAACTTCACGTCTTGGCGTCGCGTCCAGCTACTACTGGCGTGGTATCTTGCTGGTCCGTGGGACGCCGATGCCGCCGATGTCATTCTTGAAGATCCGCCCCGGCGTCTGCGTCAGCGACGTCAGCGACTGCCGCTGGGGACGTTAGCTCCTGTGATTTGGTCTGTAGGAAAATTAGTATCAATCTGTAGGAAGAATGAGTTTCTGTCTGTTTAGCGATTTAGCTAATTGTGTATTCGGTGATGTGATTTGCATGCTGTGTGGAATCATATGTAACAAGTTGTGCAATGATGCTGTCAATTTTTTAAAAAAAACAGGGGTAAAATCACAATGTATTCAGATAAGTAGGGGCAATTTTGCCTGGGCAAACTTGTCCTTACTGAGCCCATTTGACACCGTTACCTGCTGTTCACGGAATAGGGGTAAACTTAAGCTTCGTTTAAAAAAAACAGGGGTAAAATCACAACGATGACAAAAGCAAGAGTAAAATCACAAATGGACGTCAAAGTACGGGCAAGAACGCAATAGCCCCTAAGAGAAATGGTGTAATGATGGACGTTACATTTGTTATACATATTTCATTGATTCAAAGTTTGTCCAACTTTTCACGAGCTGGCTTTTACCAACAGCCATAAAAAGCAAGCTTTTCAAAAAGCAACAACTCAAGCCAGACAAAAAAAGCTATTAGTGCAAACTACATCTTAGATACAAACATGTAAATTACTTTAAAGACCATACTTTGGTTATTTAAAAAATACTGAAACTTCATACACCCATAGTGTACTCATATGTAAAAGTTAAGATGTAAACTCAAACTAGAAAATTCATAAGGAAAGAATAAATTTTAGGTGCAAGTGCACTATAATTTTTGTCTTGTACTGCAAATGCATATGAAATTTGTTATTTTCATATGAGCTTTTGTAGTTTGAGTTTGCATCTCAAGTTTTACATGCGAGTACATACATGGATGTACCAAGTTTAAATTTTATTGAATGGTCAAAGTACGTTTTTCAAATAGTTTATATGTTTGCAGGAGTTTTCCCAGACGGACATGCCCTAATTAATTAGCACTCCAAAGTTTATATGTCTTATTTGTAACACAAGAGTCTTCCCTTACGTATATAGTAGCGCTCCCTCTCCAGAAATATATAGGATCTTGAGTAAGTAAAATTGTCCTAAATTGAACCAAATTTATAAATCATTTGTATTTCAGAGGAAGAGTACAATTTTAATGTTTTTTAGTCAAGGACTCAAGGTTCCTAGGCTCAAAAGAGAAACCTAGGTCGTAATATACTTATATAAGCAACAATATATAATATAATCCTCTTACATTAATTACAACAACCGTCGATGCTCAAAGTTATATCTAGATACATAATAAAACTATTGTATTAAAAAATTCAAAACATCGTATATAATTTATAATAGAGGGAGTACTTAGGTCACCAAGACAAAAGCGACAACAACTGTTCAGGATCAGGAAGACCAGGAACTAATAAGGTACTACTACCTAGCGTGTTAAGGTGCAAAATCCTCGATCATTTCAGCGTCCATGCCTCCATGGCATGGCCGCCCCTGATCTCCTACTGGTATGGTCCGTGGGGCGGGCCGCCAAATGGCGGAAACGGCAGGTGCGGGTCGTCGAGCTCAGCCTGGTGGTGGAAGAGTGACGAGTAGTCGAACGCGGCGGGGGCGGTGATCGCCCTGGTGACGACCTCGCCGAGCTCCGACGACTCCGCCCCGTGTATGCGCGCCCCCGGAGCCTCATAGTCGTAGACGACGTCGTAGCAGCTCCCGTCCACCACCACCGGGTGCTGCGGCGCAGGAAAGTAGCTCGACGCGGGCAGCGAGAAGGGCGCCGCCGCTGCCGCTGCCGCGGCGGCGGGGTTATTGTCCGTCGTCGCGTCGCCGGGATGGTGGAAAGGCGGCATGGAGGGGAAGGAGAAGGAGAAGGACGCGGCGGGCGCGGAGGCGGGGCCGCGGTCGCGGTCGCGGTCGTGGTCGTGGAGCCCCGCCGTCTCCACCTTGAGGACGCGCTTGAAGCCCATCCCCAGCAGCTGCATGCTCGGGTCCTGCTGCTGCTCCAGCGGCTCAGGCGGCGGCGACTGGCTCCCGCCGTGCGCGGCCGCGGCCGCGGCCACGGTGGCGCGCTGCTTCTGGTGGCAGGTGTGCTCGCCCTGGTACGTGACGTCGAACACGCACAGGTCGGTGTCCGAGCGCTGCACCTGCTTCGTGGCGGCGCACGCCTGCGCGGTGCGGTACGTACACCGATAGTAGCCCCTGCAACCGCAGCAGCAGTACGCGTCAGTACCAGACATCATATATATATATACTCATATGCTACCTAAATCAGAAACTTCTGTCACATGGATCGAATTGCTTCGCTACGAAATTCGTGCAGAATTTCTCGTGAGATACGATTCACCAAAACAGAGGCCGTACGTTATAAACATGTTGTACATATGAAATTAATCTGCATCGTCAAGTTTTCGGTGTTGATGGTTGAGGGTTTACCTGGGAAACTTGGCGCCGAGGATGTGCTTCTGGCCGTACTTTCTCCAGCTGAAGCCGTCGTCCGGGGTGGCCTCCAAGCTTGCATCTGGCACTCGGAGTTTCGCGGTCCATCTTGGTAGACCTTTCCTGTAGGATTCATGACCAGGAAAACGAGTGGGGTTAGTCAGATGTTCAGATCTTTTTTGTGTTGACTTGCAAATGCTCTGTATTTGACCGAGTGTTGATGCCTATGGTCACAAAAACATGTTGTTCCCTTTTTTGACCAAACAACCATGTCCATAGCCTATGACTACGACCAGGATGCTACTACCAATTTACTCTCTGTAGTAGTATGATGACTAATTCTTCATGCTGTTAGGTACCTTTTCAAGATCCTTTTCAGGTTTACTGAGGAGTAAACTAGTCTGTTGACTTACTGCCTATATATGACAGAGTAGAATAGTGCAATTTTTCTAAAAATATAGTTTCGTATGCTATACGCCTATACTTGTACGTCAGCCTCTGAGATAACATGAACACTGCGTACCGTTGCTTCCAGGATTCTGTGATCATATTAAATCCTAACGCAATAATATATCCACCAGAACATACTCTATTGTTCTAAATTATAAGAAATTTTAATTTTTTTAAATATATTATTTTTATTATATATTTAAGTGCATATTGATATCTATGTAAAAAAATAAAATATCTTATAATTTGAAATGAAGGGAGTAACGTAATATGTAGAACGTTTGTATGGGATAGCTTTTGGCACCACACCCACGTTTCTATCACTTATGGTACAGTAGCTTTGTTGCATATTGCATGCGTCCTTAATGCTCTGTTTCTTTTCATAAAAGAAAAAAAAAATCCTCAAATAAAGCTTGTTTTGTGGGAAATGATTTCTGAATATGGCTGGTGCATCTGTCTGACAGTGGCGTTACCACGAAGTATTGTGCACTATTACGTAGGTGTTATCTCCTAATTTGGTCTAAACACAAAAAAAAAAGTGCTGCCTTTGATGCTGAGAAGTCTGAAGGAAGGTTGTTCACAGCCCTGAGACGCGTGTGCAGTGTGCCACATCGCTGGATTATCAAAAGTGAAAAATTGAGTTTTTGTTTAAAAAAATGAAAAGTGAGTAAATAATGTTTGGCATATGTGCTGAAAATGGTACAATTGTTGGAAACTGTACAGATTCACATACATGAACGTGCTCAGCTTCAAAGAATATCAAACTCTGTAGGATACTAGGATCTAGGTGATATCGTTGTTTTCTATATGCATGAACGTGAAAATTCAAGTTCAGAGTCAGTCAACTCTAAAGGATATGACAAAAGGAATTAGGAGCAATTGCACTGCAAAGACGTCTCGTGCTAGTTCTATTGTTCCTGATTTTTTATGTATATATATGCTTCATAAACGGAGTCGAGTCTGAACTTGCATATTTGCATGAACATAGAACATGACCATACCTAGATCTGTGTAAAGTTTCAATACTTTGCGAAGTTTCAAAGTATGTTTCCGATGAATTTGCATACGCGTAGTTTTCGATTTTTATGCCATTTGACCCTACGATGCATGCATGCACCCGCCAAAACCATTTCGAGTGCACCTCATTTGGCGCGCGGCACGTACGTACGGGTACGCAGTGTTTTTGAGTTTGAAAAAAGTGAACGCGACGCACCTTCTCTTGCACATGCTCTGGCGCTCCTGCACCTCCGTCGCGACCGTCGTCGTCCCGCCGGAGCTCTCGTCCGCCGACCGCGGCGAGTCGGAGCGGTCGGTGCCCGCGACGACCCCGGCGCGGCGGCCTCGATGGCCCTGGCGACGGCCGCCGCCTTCCCGAGCGTGCACTGCAGCCGCCGCGCCTCGCCCTGTAGTGCTCCGCGCGGGAGGACCACGGGTCGTCGGCGGCCATCATCTCCCGAGCTGGCGCGCCTGCTCCTCGCCGTCGGCGAGGAGCGTCAGGAGCGTCTGGATGCTCCCTGCTTCTGCTCCCGCGCCGTCTTGCATGGCTGGCGCGCTCTTGCTTGCCGGTTGCCGCCTAGCTCTCGATCTGCAGTGCAACAGACACTGATTCGACCGACCGGTGCTCAGCGACTGCTTTGTGATGATTCTTGGATGGTATAACACCCTGATTGTTGATCTGTATGAACAATATATTCAGCAGCAAGGATGAGCTGGTGATGGAGGCAGAGAAGAACAGCTCGGACGCGACGACGACGACGCGGCACGGCAGTGACCGATTCGAAGGGCGAGGCTGGCAGGGAGGAGCAGCGGGAGGACCATGACAAGTTCAGAGAAACAGATGGGAAAACACAAGGTGACTCAAGTGGCGATATTAACACAGAAGAAGGATGTATGTATATGAACAGGTGGCTTCTCGGCCAAGAATGGCGGCAACCAACAACGATGATCACGAAAGCTTGCAGCTGGGTATATATATATGCAGGAGATCGGGAGAGGGAGAGCAACGGAGAAGACGAGAGGAAGGTGTGGCATGCAATGTTTGTTCCGGAGAAGGAAGGAAGGATGGTAGCAGTAGCAGTTATAGTAGAGTGCTTGTCTGAGATTCAAAGGCCATGAATCTACTGCACGCCTGCAGCACTTGTGTCTTGTGGTATTCTAGACGTTGGTGAGAGGGAGAGCACGTTTGACCGGGGGAAACGGGAAATGAAACCGAGTGAGTTTCTGGCCTATATTTTTTCCTCTGATTTTGGGTGCTCGTCCGTCCGTTGACCAGTCTTTGGTCAGACTAGTCATCGTACTGGAGGAGCTGGAGGGGGAAACTGCTACGTCCACTCGGTAGGGAAACTGGGAAAGGCGAAGGGTGCTGCAGCCGAAAAGAAAAAATGGCATCTTTTTTTAGTGGGCAGGAAATTCGGGGGCGCGACGATGACCGTCTTTCCTTTTCCTGATAAACTCTTGTATATTGATATAGGAGTACTTTGGTTTGGATTTTTGGATGCATTATTGGTATAGATTATAAAGGTGGTTTTGTGAATTTGAAGTTTGTTTTACGATAAAGCTATAGCTCACTCGAGTGATTTGAAGCAATCCATCACTTGAATTTTCTCTTCCCCAAATCTGGCCTCTCTCCCTCCTCTTCTCCAACTTTGGCGGGCTTAGAAGGGGCCGATCAGGGGAGGCAGGCCGGCCAGGCCATGCGGATGGTGGCCAGGCGATTCAGGGCCCTGGCGGTGGTGTAGGCGGCTGAGCCATGTCGGGTGGGGAGTTGCGGCCGTTCACGAGTTGAGAGAAGAAAGCGGCGGGAGGGAGGGAGGGGAAGAGGGAGGCCGCCGCAAACGCTGGGCATCGGGAGGAGGAAGATGAACAGTGGCCGCTAGGAGGAGAAAAATTCAAGTGATGCCTCACTCTGGGTGACATATAGACAGATCCTTTTTATTTTATTTATCGCTACTTTAGTTTGTTGCATGTTGCTTCCATCTAGAAGTTTTAGTAGGGAAAAAAGGCAGCAGGTAAAGTCTAGCTAATAGCTACGTGCATGCACGATTCCAGATATGAGAGGAACAGGCACCAAAAAAAAAGATATGAGAGGAATAATAGAAATCGATCACCATATTCGTGTTGTTGGAGCTGGGCGGAAACAAAATTCTTATTTGCATCAGAAAAGCCTAGCAGTCAAAGCACCAAATGAGCTCCGAGAGAAAATGGCCCCTTTTTTTATGGGGAACATATCTGAGTCTAAGCAAAACACTAAATGCACAGCAGAGTGCAAAGCCAAGCTGCGGGGGAGAGGTGGGAGGGGAGATTTGCAAAAGTGTAATTACGCCCGCTCCTAATTACACTTTTGCAAATCCCCCCTCCCACCTCTCCCCCGCAGTTGGTTTGCACGGTTTGCACGGAGAGGTTGATTTGTACTTGATGTATTGCATTTTTTATGATATCAGTCACGGTCAGCTTCACAAACAAAGGGGCAGCTTTTGGAGAAGCAAGCAATGCAATCTTGTAGTTGTAGAGCTTGAAGATGGGAGGTGGAACTCTTCTAATAAACAAGCCCTACTACGGTCATCGATCAAGATCAAGCCCTAGATAGATTGAAGGAACTGAGGCGGGGCGGCTGCCCTGTTTCGTCTGAAAGAACGCGGATAGTACGATGAAGTTTCCGACATGACGAGATAAAAAGCTTTTCAGACATCAAATGTGTTGCTTTCTTCTCAGCAATCGAGTCGGATGCACACAGTACTTCACTTGGTACTCCTGATTCCTTTGTTACGACCTGAGATGGTAGGCTTGTTCTCACTGAGACAGTGACTAATTCGCCGAATACTCCTGCCTGTCTGTGTGTGGTGTGTGTGTTGGCATTCACTCACTCTCACGAGTCTCGACTCCTTTTGGAAAATTCGGTAGGAATATTCAAACCCAAGGCCAGTGCCGATCGTGTGCTGACCGTTCAATTCAACCCTGCGATGCCACTGGTCCAGCTGATCACCCAAAATGGTTCTTGCAGAAGACGAGCTAGAGACCACGATGGCTAGCGTTGGCTGGCTGAAGCCTGAAGAAGGCTGAGGGGAGGAGGTGAGGTCAACGGCGAAGGTTGGACGAATTGGCATCGAATCTTCAAACCCGTTTCCGCGTATTGGACTGGGGAGTAAGAGCAAGTGACAGTGACGCAAGTGTCACGACGTTGTGCTGTCGACGCCGGGGGAGCTGAGAGCTGACCGGGGAAAAGGAGGCAAACCAGCCAGCCGCACAGGGAACAGTTTTTATCACTACTCTTCTCTACTCCTGTTCTGCGTAGTGATGCCGACTGAACGAGATTCTTCTGCGGAACTTGTGGAATCCAGCGATGAGCAGTACTCCCTTCGTCAAAAAAGAAACCGAACAAGTCGACTTCTTGTCAGCCAAACGGCACCATAAGGTTAAGAATTCTATATACGAACAAAAACAATCACTTTTCAGTGGGAATAATAACAAAGTTTTGTTCTTGTTCCTTTCCGAGACCCAGAGCGTGAAATGCTGACTGCCGACATGGCTGATGTGGGACCAAGGCAAGGCAAACCGGTGGGCCACTTAAACATTTTATTTATCGATACTACTTTCATTTTAGAAAGGATTTAATTCTAAGTTTAATTGGAGTCAAGTTTGACAGGGCTCTAGATTCTCCTATAAACGTTCTAGTTTTGAAATGTCCTTAGAAACGTTTCTCCGGTGATTCTCGAAACTCAATCACATTCTTTGAAAACGTTTGGTAGGGATGATAGATTCATATTCTTGAAACAAAATGAGGTGGAGATGAATCGGAATTTCTAATTCAGAAACAAGCGAAACACCCTTTTGGACGATTCTCTCCTGTAGTGTAAAAAATGAGAATCATCCCAATTGATTCTTGGTGGAACGTTTTAGCGCGGATTTTGGAGATCCATGGTGAAACATTTCACGTTTTAGCATTTTTGACAGGGATTCTGGAGATCCAAATGAGAATCCAAAACATTTGTGGAGAATCAAAAAAACATTTGTGCATCCAAAGGCACCCTGGTTTATGGGAAATCAATACTCCGTATTTAAGACTCCAAATTGGTATATTCTACAATAAATTTAATAATATCTACTATATCTAAAAAGAAGAACTCCACTAATCTATTTTCGTGCGATTTCGTAAAGCCGCCGTCACACCACCACAATCCTCAAGCAGCAGCCGAAGCATCCCCTCAGACCGCACCGAAGCGTCTCTCCATTTCACGAGTCAGTACTCAAGTATGCAAGCCGTTCCTATCTGACCCTTTGTTTTCTCCGCTTCCCCTTCCACTAGCTACCATTAGCTTTAGCTGAAACGTTCCTTGCGGTGCTCATATGACGCGGAGAGCCAGAGGAGGAGGGTGCAGAGGAGGAGCATGGGATGCAGAATTGCAGAGCACCGCGCGTCCCAGCGCCCGCGTCCGCGTCAGCGCCCGTGCCGCCGCTGACAGCGCGTCGGCAGCGCTGCCTCGCTTCCGCCGATGACGACGGCGCTACGCTGGCTGCAGACTACCACCGCCCGACCACCATCCCTCCGCCTCCCAAGGTCCGCTGGCTGCCGCCGGCCGCTGCATGCCCCTTGGCAGGTTGGCCCCAACCGCTGCTGCCGCCAGGCGCCAGGCGCCCAGTCGCCCAGAGCGCCCTCATGGTCGGATGCAGATGCCGGAGCCCGCTGCCGCAAGGCGCCAGGAGCCCGGAGCGCCACCCCCCCGTCGGTCGTGCAGCAGGCCGCCGCCGCCCGATGCAGAGGACTACGAGGTCGCCTGGATTTTGGCACCAGTCGTGAGAAGGCCAATGCCGAAGGGTGCGTGTGCGTTGCGTGGGCCAGCTATCAGCCTTTTTCTTTTCCCATTTTTAATTTTTATTTTCCTCTCCACGAAGGGAAGAGAAGGTCACCGAAATAACAGTCGTGGGCGAAGATCGGCAAGTTCAATCGTTTTGTCTTATTTTCTTTTCTTTCATTCATTCATTCTTTATTTCCAAATTTGATATTTAAATATTGTTCCACGATCTTTATAATGTCATAAGATTTCCACAGCAACATGTGGGGTATCATCTAGTTTATTTAATATGATAAGCATTAATAAATTTTATATAAATTTATTCAAACTTGAAGATAGCTTGACTGAGCATAATTCTAGAATTGCTTCTAATATTGCAATTTTCTGAGATGGAGAAAGCACACGAGAAACTGAACAACACTACGGCATCCAACATCATCTTCATTGAACTGCAGCAGCACCCGATGGTTTGCATGCAAGAAAAAAAACCCCAGTGATTATCATTTCAGAGCATAATCAGAGTACAATTACAGCTGCACAACACACTGGGGCCACTGACACAGTTCCAGCAATGTTAAGCTGTCAACAATAAGCATCAGCATAAGCAAAATTTTGGATGTCGTCTGAGATGTCATGTCGCCGTTAGGCGATTGCTCCAGCAGTCCAATAGTGTACAATAAAAGCACACATTCAAGAAGATCAAAATCAAGACAACTGCCCTATGCTGAAGCGGTCAAAATGTTCATGTACATAGAAGGTAGTTCAGTAGCAGGAGACACAGCACAAAACCATAACTTATATCCATAATATTTCCAGTACACTGCACTAGCACTACAAAGCAAGTAAAATGTCTGACTGTATGCTCTAGTTCATCTCGATTAAAAGAAAGAACTACAAGTTCACAACCCACCTCTCATCTGATATTCTGATACCACATCAAAACTTCTGTCTCTAGTCGAAAAACCCTGGTACTTCCCCTGGCATCGGAGCAAGTTCGTTTCTCCCAAACCTTTCCTCGTCAAAGAAGGTTGCCTGCACCACACGTCCGCCAAAGAACCGCCCTTGCAGATCAACCATTGCCTTCGTTGCTTCTTCTGCCCGCTCAAACTGTATGAATATCCTTACAGCCTCATCAGCTGGGAAGTCTGCCTGTGTGATCTCAAATATCAGCACCCGAGACACCGTCCCATACTTGGCACACTCTGATGCCACCTCATCTTCCAGCTCGTCGTCAACCTCACCAGGACCAACCTGCACATGTTTCACAATCGTGCATTAGAACTGTTTACAGAATTGTATGAGTGATATGTTTCCTTCTTGCTGAACAATCCAATCCCTCTAACAGTAAGTGGAAATGAATAGAAATTCTGAATTCAATGGATCATCGCTCTGCTCAAGTCATAAAAATTGCTTAGGGCCCAAGGTCTCACACAGTTAAAATAGACAATTCAGCAAGATAACTTCATGATGTCAGACTTCTTGGGGTCATGCCAAGATACAAATATCTTTTTCTTTGACATGAAGATAGAAATTTCTTGATCATTAACAATCGACTACTTATTATCTGATAAATTAATTTGTTTACCATGATATTGCATTAGTGTTGTGTGAAAAAAGGGGTTACAGAGTCATACTCATTCCAGGATCAGCTTTGATCACATAAATGAGATTTCATGACACATTGCATACCATCTAAATTCAAATACACTAATCAGATAAGACTATTGCACTGCTATAGTCAAAATTCAACACAGAGCTCACTAAACCATAAACAAATTCCAGTGGAGTTTGACCTCTGATTATGTTTGAAATTTTTAAAAAGTTTAAGAAGAACCTCAATCAATTATATGGTGCAAAGGAAAAAAAGATTGTGAAATCATCTAGAACCTGACAGAAACTTAGCATTTCTAAACACATGTTAGCGAAAAAGCTTGAGTGGCACATTGCTACTCCCGTTTGTATTTATAAGCTAAGGGACAAAGCTAATATGTAGTATTGTAGTTCAGACAAATTTAACTAGCTTGTTTAAACCAAGTTCAGAACCGCAAAGTTAGCAACTTACAATATCGATACATTCAATTATTACCAAGAATAAAGGTAAGGGAAGGGCTAATCATACACTAGAGGCTAGTTAACTGTGGCACTACAAGCAAACAGTCATTGACTGATTAAACCTATGATTCTATGCGTCATGATTCTATTCATACAAAAACAACTTAAGCATTAACAAACCCTCTATATAGGAATTGATGCAACAATGAAATTTACCATGTTGCGGAGCAGCAAAACTCGTGTCGGTTGCCCATCTAAGTTGACAGATCTCGGCTTCTTTTCTGGAGGCCTGGAACTGCTCTCATCAACAATAACTCCTCCCCTCCTATCGGTCTTTTTGGCCACCAGAGGAGCGGTGATCCCCTGCTCTTGCTTACCAAGCCCCTGACCTTCCTTCCACCCCATCTTGGCCATCATCCGCTGGGCAGCAGTCATCTGTCCACCGGCGCCCACACCCAACCCAGCAGAAGATGAGCTCCCAATGGCAAAGCCATCCCCATGAGGTGGGGACGATGGGGTTCTCTGAGCAGCAGCACCGCCACCGCTCATCGCTGCCCTCCTCTTCCACGCCTCCTCGCCGGATATGTTGAGGGAGGAGGCCCTGGACTGGTAGTCCTTCTCCTCGCGCTCGCGGGCCTCCCTCTCCCGCTGCTCGCGCTCCCTCTCCCGCTCTTGCTCCTCGCGGCGCCGCCTCTCAAGCTCCTTGTTCAGCTCAGCCTCCTTGGCGCGCCGGAGCTTGTCCTTACGGTAGTCCTCGTAGTCGTTGGGCCTGGCAGGGTCGTACTCGTCAAGCACGGTGGACTGGACGGCGACGAACGCGGGCTGGAAGGTGGTCGGGGCGGGTTCGGCGGCAACGATGGGGGGAGTGGGGGCGGAGGTGGAGGTGGCTTTGGGCGGGCGCAGGTGCTGGTTCCGGAGAATAGATGAGGGTGGGGCGAAGGTGGTGGACGGCTTGCGGAGGGTGGGAGGCGCCATCTTGGTGGCGCTGGACCAAACGGAGGCCGTGGAGGCCTTGTCTTCGTCGCCGGCCGACGACGGCGGCGGGAGGTCGCCGTACAGGCCGCCGAGCATCTTGCCCAACCTAGGGTTTGGCTGCTTCAGTGGGGAGAGATTCGATTTGGGGAAGAAGACGGAGTACTCAGTACTCCCTCCGGTCTAATAAGTCGTTTTGAGGTTGTCAAACATTTTAAACTTTCACTGCGAATAATTTCTTCTGGGTTGAGTTTGAAAATATAAAAGTGACGTAAGTAGATTCGTCTTGAAATGTAGTTTCATAAAAGTATATATTGACTATATTTTATAAACATTTTATAGCAAAAAGTAGCGGTTAAAGTCATTTCTTAAAAACCATGTCGATGTCAAAAACGACTTGGTTTACACAACCGGAGAGAGTACTCAAGAAGACGGCCCCCCGATTTAATTCGGGCCAGGGGTGGGGCCAAAATTTTAGGGGCCGTTTGGCTACGTGGGGTGTGTTTAGTTACCCAAAATCCAAACTTTGGTATTATGCAAAAAGAAGATTCCCCTTCACATCAAACTTGCGGTATATGAATAGAGTACTAAATGTTGACGAAATCAAAAACTAATTGCACAGTTTGGTTGTATTTTGCGAGACGAACGTTTTGAGCCTAATTAGTCAACGATTGGACAATCATTACCAAATACAAACGAAATGCTACATGGCACTACAGTGCCGCGCAATGATTTTGCCACTACCGATTCCGGACAACTAAACGAGGTCGTGGATCGATTCCGATTCTTTCTAGAAAAGCCTTTTACACGTGTGCCATTAAAAAAATTTATAATTACACACAAGTCATTAAAAAAGTTGACCGCACACAGGTACCACTGCTATAAACTTCTTTGCCTTACAAGCCATTCCGTCCATGTTCTGTTTGTTTTTCGCCGTTTGGTAGCCCTTATAGGTGAGACCGGTCAGTGAAATTGTCCATGTTGCCCTTGGGCGGTGGCCGTCCATCCTCTGCCTGCATGCCTCGCTTATTACAGTCAGGAACTACATCATCGATACTAGTACAGAGACCGAGAGACGAGCGAAGAACTTCCTGCTCCTCCTCATTCGCGACGGCGGCGACAGACACCACCTCGCCCTCCTCGCGGCGTCCGTGGCCGCCCGCTGCTCGTCCTCGCGCTCCCGCTCGCCTTCCTGCTCCTGCTGCTCCTCCGCGGCGGTGGCGACGACCACCACCTCGCCCTCCTCGTTGCGTCCGCGGCCGCCGCCACGAGGGCCGCGTGCCTGCTCCGGGGACGCTTGCGCCGCTCGCCGGGCTCCGGCTCCGTCCAGTGGTTCATCGGGGACGACGGCGACAAGCCGCAGAAGCGGGCGGACAAGGCTGCCACGCCGCACGGACGCATCGTGCGGGAGGGCGTCGAGTTCTACAGCAATGGGGACTGCTACGAGGGCGAGTTCCACAAGGGCCGCTGTAATGGCGCGTGGCCGTCGGGGTGCGCTAGGGCTCGGGGCGAGACCGTGGGGCCGCCGGGGTTCGCCGCACGACCGCATGGGAGGTCGTCGGGCCGAGTCGTGGGTCGGGTCGTCGGGGAGCAAGCGTTGGCGCGAGGCCGGGCCGCCGCCGCCGAGGGTGCAGGGCGGTGCGGGGGCGGGGAGCGTAGGGCTAGGCCGTCGGGGTCGCATGGCGGGGCTAGGGACGGGAGGCGTCGGGAGGCGCCGGGGGCGAAGGGTGGGGCCGAGGCCTGGAGGTGCCGGGGGCGTAGGGCCGGGCCACCGGGCGCGGTGCTGACGACGGAGGAGGCCGCGTTGCGGTGCATAGGAGCGTCGGGGTCATGGGAAGAAGATAAGGAAGAACAATCGTAGTCAACACAGTTTCCACCGCCCAAGGGCAACATGGACAATTTCACTGACCGGTCCCACCTGTAAGAGCTACCAAACGGCGAAAAACAAACAGAACATGGATGGAATGACTTATAAGACAAAAAAAGTTTAGAGGAGTGGCACCTATGTGTGATCAAATTTTTTAATGGCTCGTGTGTAATTACAATTTTTTTTAATGGCATACATGTAAAAGGTTGTTCCTTGAATCACAAGAAACGCCACCAAACGGGATAAGCCTGGTTTCACGACCCTAGCCTTGGCTCCTGAATCGGCGCTGGGTCGTATTTAGCTTATAACCCATATCTTATCAGCCAACGAATAATATTTTTCTCTCACATCAAACCAGCCAACAATACTTTCAGTCATGGCTTGTAAGTCAAACCAGCCCAAACGAACAGGATGTTTTTTCTCTCGTATATACATGCTATCAATTTTATTTTATTTTTTCATTATAATCCCTTTTTAGCGCATCAAAATAAAATGAGTTATATTCAAGTTGTTTTTCACATATATATAAACAATATAGATTTGAGGAAACATATTTTTATTTGTACATTTTTTAAGAAGATTTTTTCCTTATATCCGAATATAGTCTAATAGCCAAAGAGTTTTAAGTGATTCTGATTCGTCTCCCGAAACATTCTTGAGAGAATCCAAATTTGAATCGTTTCTACAAGAATCTGGATCCCTATCAAACACGCGTGTGCGTGCTAGTACTAGTAAGCGGCTCGCTACACTTTTTTTTACTCAAACAGAGAGTTACGTGCGGAGGTTTCTATTTTAGTCACGTTTATTGTTTCTCACGTTTATTTCCTCTTTATCTATTCTCTTACCGTGCGTCTGTTCCTCTCCTTTGAGGCGGAGGCAGAAGGCCACTAGAAATCATCGTCAATACAGATCCGCCGCCAAACTCGATTCGCCCGGCCGTATTGTAGCCAGCGTGCAGGGGATGGACGGTCATGTTCGTCTACTTCGAGGTGGAGGTGAAAGGCTCCAGCGAATCGTCATCTTCGAAGCGTATCTCGCCACTCAAACTCGCTGCTGTTAGGAACATCTCCCATATTAAGCAATTACTTGACTAAGTAGTCTTCCACTGACTATCATTAACCAAGTAATTCACCTAAATGGTCATCTGGTAGACCACCCATATTATGATGTATAAATGCCAACCTTCATCCAAGATCACAATGGTAGAAAGGAAATCATCACAACCTTACAGGTTCACATCACATTAAAGGTAGTTAAGTTACAATATTATTCTTAAACTTAGTCCTTACACAGTACAACATCTATACACCATCATCAAAGTCTAGCGAAAGGCTTTAAGCAAAATAAGAACAATGTGTGGGTGTGTCGCTCTCGCTCGCCACACATTTACACAGGGTATACAGTTCATACATATATGTGCCACTTGCAAATAAGCTACGATGTTTCAGCTTGCAGCAAGAGGAAGCATGAGTCACTCGCAACAAGTGACACAGTAGGGCACGCCGCCATTCGTGCTCGCCGCCGGCCTTCCAAGCTCCGCCACGCCATCGTCGTCACCATCGACGCTAGCAGCAGGGCCCGCCTCGAAGGGAGCAGATCCATGGATGCAGACACTAGATCTGGCCTCGTAGGGCACAGGTACGCCACCACGCTGGTCCCCTCGTATGCAATGGAAGAAGGGAGGTCTGGGGAAGATGGGAGAGAGTGGGGAAGGGAGGAGATGCAAGGGTGCGGAGGCTGCCTTGTTGAGCAGCACCGCAGGCCGTTGCCACCACTCGTCGGTGAGCATCGGCAGCGGCCAAGGGAGTTCGCTGATGGGGGGCCGAGTGCGGTGGCGGTGCGTGTCGCCCCCGAGTCGCCTCGGGGAGACGACATGTGGGGAGCGTTTCCCCTCGTCCCACTCTATTCCGTTCTCATGATATAACATCAAAATCCTCTTATAATGAAATACATGTCATGGAACAACGGTCATGAAAAAAGGGGATAGCATCAGGTATAAGTACACACGCAAAAAAGGGGCCAAGTAAATTATATATGCATGCTGTTGACTTGTTCTATGTCATGACATGTACGGAACATTAGACCATTATCTCCCCATCTTCTGGTCAGAAGACAACTGTCGAATTTTCCCGTGTTTGACTACCCTAAATGGGTATCACTTTCGACGATAATCCAAATATATAGGTCCTTATTACATAAACAAGAATACTAGTAGTATGGTTACTAGTTTATCTTCTATAGGAGGCGAAGCAATGGTCAGAAATGGCCACAAGTAAAATGCACGTGAAACGGAAAAAATGCTCATATGAATTCCCAGCCAGCTAGCTAGCTACGTGTAGCTAGCAAGGGGGTGAAACGGAAGAAGTCCATTCTTACCTTGCCGTCGACCACTCTCCGGTGACCGAGCATCTGGTTGTCGGGGTACTTCTCCACGGACGTCCTGCCAAGTTTGAAACCGACCGATCGATCAACCGATGGACGGAGCCAGCAAACCATGCGTATGGTAATGGTACGATCCATCTCAAGGGATTGACAAGGTTGAGAGATCGAGCGGCAAGATCGAGCTGGATGCTGATTGCTCACCGGAAGATGTCCCAGCAGCTGTGGAGCCCCGGCGGGGCCTGCAGGAGGCCGTCCTTTGCCCGCGCGTTGCGGTACGCCGGTCCGGTGGTCGCCGTCGCCCGCTCCACCTCCACCAGGTGCTTCATCTTCTCCAACGAGCTAGACAGAAGGGTCAGAGAGAGAGGAGAGAGCGATGGGAGGGCAGCAGCAAAGTGCACCTTTGCGACTTTGAGGTATGAGTAGGGAGATGTATGCTACGCGATGGATCCGAATTTTTTATTTTTAGCTTTTTTTTCAAATATTTTCACAAATATATCTCTGGATGTAAGGTTTTAAAATCTAGACCCTTAGCTCAGCGCCATCATTGCTGGCGTCGAGCTTACACGCGCCGAGCTCTTGGGCTCGAAGCAGACGTAGCGGTGACTTGGTAGGTAGCTCGGCGCCAGTAACCCTGGCACCGAGCTCGGCGCCGTAGATCTTGGCGCCGAGCTCGGCGCCAGGGTTACTGGCGCCAAGCCTGTCTTACGTATGGTCCCCAATTCTTTCTCTCTTCCTCTCCCTCTCTCTCTCTCTCGCACCTCCCTCGCCTCGCCCGAGCAGCGCACCGCCGCCGCCGCCCGCGCCCTCTCCCGCCCCGGCCGCCCTCGCCGGCGCCGCCACATCGCCCTCG